TTTTAGAAGATTATATAAACATTAATTGAAATTTGGAAAGTGAGAAAGAATAGTAGAGGGAAATCCAGGAAAGGTGTGCTCAAAACAAGTCAGTTTTTCTGCCCCATACAACTAGTTTTATTAAGTTTACCCACACAAATGGAAATTTTAAAGTTACAACTTTCAAAAGTAGAATACAGATGCAAAAGTAGTCATTAGTATTTATTTTAAGCAGCTTCAGATTGTTTTGCAAACGTTAAAATCTCAAAATGTCAGCTACAGGACACCGGCAAGCTTTGTTTTAAATAGAGTACATGTGCCTTCCAGTTATGTTCTCTCCCACTGTCCTTCAGTGAGCCCTGCCACATGTGATGGACCACGTTTATTCAAGTAACTTCACCGGGTATGTGTTTATTAACGGAAGGAGAGCAGGAGGGATGTTTTCTCTGATGTCCCAACCCTATAAACACGTAAGCACAGGTTTAATAACATTTGCGCTTTTATGTTTGAAGTACCGTACAGTTTTCTGTTTTCTTTATGTTGGAATGTTCACATCTGTGAAGTACACATTTGAAGTGTTAAACGAAACAGGGGCCCAATTCACTGCTGTGGTTTTTTTTAATTTGTAAGGAAAATATATTAAAAAGGCAAAATACCTCTACAAATGTGACTATTTCTAAAAAGACTGTCATATAAATGCTGACACAAGCTTGAAGTTTATTTTTAAAGAGCCATTAGCATCTCCCTGTAATGCTTACCCTCCTTTCGCAAAAGAATGGACATAACGAGTTAAGCAATGTTTTTCTTTTTAAAGCGATTTGAATTTGTACCTGCTCAATTTTATCCTTTGCTTCCTGAGTGTCAAGTGAAGCTTTGTCCCTGATGCAAGCAGTTATCATATTATCAGCATGAAAAAACGCCGCACTTGGGTAAGGCAGGAGGTCCTCAAGAAAAAATGGCTGCAAATCTCAAGAAATCAGAGAAATATTAAAGTCACAAACCCTTAGAGCTAGTTATAACAGGACTGCTATCATAATGCTGAAAGTAGGGCATCCATGCTTTTCAAAAGAAAGTAACATAAAAGCAGGTTGCCAGGTAGCTCATATGCTGCCACTAGCCCCTCTTGCTAGCAGTGCTTTCTGAAACAGCAGAGCATTTGTAAAATCAATACTGCCTTCCTCCAGCTGAATCAATGGGGAAAAAAAAATTCAAAACATTTTTTTGCCACCTAATACCTCCCACTACAAAACTACTACCAACACTTTGTGGAGAAAAATGAGCTACTTTTTCCCTATGCAGCTCTTTGAAAAAAAAATTACCTGCCTCCTAAAAACAGATGGAGTAGCATGTGGAATGGGAACTGGCAGTATTCGGCCCCTTTACAAGAGCACTATGTTTTTTGTCCACTCTGGCTCATTTGAAAACAAAATTTCCCCCTGGAGCTAGTTGCTAAATTAAGACATGAAGCTGACACATTTTTGCTATAAATGTGAGAAAAAAAAACATTTTTAACTCACTATGTCCTCCTTTTTAAGAAAAGGCAAGTATACTTGCTGTTTACGAGAAGGTCGTGTGTTAAATTTTAAATATGTGGGTGAGATCAGATTTGCTGGTATTGCATTATGGTTAGGGTGGAAGAGAAAAAGATACCCCCTCAAACTTACTAATCAAAGATCGTAACTTACCTTTTCCTTGACAAATGAGAGGTATTTACATGTTTTTATAACTCATATTAATCTGATCACAATGCTGAAAAATTTATAGTAATAGGCAATTCTTATTAGCCAGTTTAGTTTTGTTTTTACTTAAACACTAAACTATCTGCAGCTAAATACTAAAAGCAAACACAAACAGAAATTTTCAATTAAAAAAAATCCTCTGATATATAAAGTATCCACTGCAATGTTCCACAGCAATGGAAAAGAGAATGTAAGCTAATTCTTTATTTCATGTTTCAAACAATAAAAGCACGGTAGAAATGTAAATTTACAAAACATTCTCACATACCCCCACATGTTCTAAACCCAAGCAAATTCCAATCATTACTAATGCTTGAAAGGTTACAGCCAGCTTCTCAATGAAGACATAACGTCAGGGAAGCTGAAACCAACAGTTCAAGTTAGAATTTCACAGAATAATTACTACTACAATCCTGAAGAAGATCTTTCAGAACTTGGCGCCTGAAGATAAATGTGAACTTAAAAGCAGAGCACCTAAAAATGATCTGGTTCTTCATGTTTCAAGTGTCAATACTCACCAATGACTTTAGTGGCAGTTGCTTAGCACACAGACCTTCAGAAGGTGCTTAAATACAAACTCAAAAACATAACTTGAGACACCCCTATCCTTATCGTTCTTTTTAATAAAGTCTTGGCCATGTCTCTTTTCTACACCTGAATCATGGAAGACCAGATATCCAGAACCACATCCATTCCCCAGACTGGCCTTAGATGAATGTGAAGTACTCCGTACTACACACAACATGCCCATGAAAGCCTTCTCAAGCAGGATTAGTTTTTGCTGTCCCATAAATTTATTGGGAAATAAACTGGTGACAAAAATAATAAAACAATAAAAAAACCCTTGGTTTTTTCCTGTGCCCCAATATTCTATGAACTATGTACAGTAGAAGAAGTACCTTTTTACTTGCACACAGCCAGCACCTACTGGAGTCAGTTTATCTCTGCACCCCTGCAGGGTAATGTACACACAAGTCTCACAGTGAAACTGAGGTTTCAGTGTAAGCTACGCTGGCTCTAAGTTAAGCTATTAAGTAAATTAATAAAATTAGTAAAATTAATTTCTAATTCAGAAAACTGAATTTTGATTTAAAAAAAGACTTAAATTTAACTGCAAACTAGCCTGCATCAGAAGGCTGAATCAATATTTGGTCCAGTCACTACTGGTGTAAGTAACTTATCACTACAGCTATGATCATATACATTTTCTCTTTCTGTTAAAACATATAGAAAGAAAATATTCTATCAATAAATCAATTTAAAAAAAATACATCTGCCAACTTGCCATATAGCTCCAAATCCTCACCTCTCAACCCAGAACGTAATTACTAGAAAAATATCAAAATATAAGTACGAGGAGTTTCACATGTTGTTTTAACCTCTATCAATTATTTCAAACTTTGTTTAGGCAAGTAGGTGTTATTTTTAACATAGGAAATTTGGGGTGATTTTGGTCCCTTTGTCAGTGCATTGTTTTGAACTCCCTGAGTACTGTACATTCCTTTTCTACAGTGATTTCTGACTGGAAGATACTGAATAAAGTGGTTTTGCATTGCTGCATATAAAGTAAAGTCTATTGCTTAAAGTGAAAGCAGCATAAGATTTTACAAAATATGCAGGTGAATGTTTCAGCATTTTGCCCCTAAACATCTGAACTAAGTGTGAGCCCTTAACTTCTCCTAATCTCTCCTTTAGATTCTAGAAGTGCCTAATTTCACATCATTAAATATAATCAGAACGTAATTACTGTTAGTATTTATGTCTTGGCAGATAGTTCTTCCCAATCTACCGTCAGTAATACCTGCAAGTTGGCACAACAGTTATTCAAAGCCCTCTTGGACCACACATCTCAATTCAGGCACTCCGAGGTCAGTAGCTATAGTTGTGTAGGTTTTTTTGTAAAACAAACAAAAATGGTACTAACCATCCAACCACCTAACTCCACATTTTCAAAAAAAGCAGTAGTTCATAGCAGTTGATAATTAAAATAACAATAAAAAAAGATTATAACATTTCAATACAAGTACAAACAAAATACTCGTATTGAAGTACGAGTACAAGCAAAGTACTGAGAATAAACTGTAGTTTATCCAGTTCCAAAAATAACTGTGGGTCAAAGCAGTGCTGAGCATTTGCTTACTGACATTTTCCATTTTCATAAAAAAAGACTAGGCAGCACATTCAAACATAAATGAAACTCAGGTAAGATGTGTTTACTTTTTAAAAAATAATTCATAAAATAACAAATTATCAACAATTCATTATGTAGCATCAATATAAAGAGCTTAAAGTTACTGAATCAATCAGCATATACTAAAGATAAGATATTTTGATACCAAACGAGGCCTCCAGTTACTTAAGAATTTTGAATTATTTAGCTCATTAAAGGATAGTACTATGCCTTAAATTCAACAGATATGGCTGAATCTGTGCACTAGTTAAAATAGAATATTGTAACTGCACACAAAAAGATGTATTTATATATAGTTTTTACAGTGTATGCATGTGTATGTATATATTTTTTACTCACCAACAAACACAATGCAGATAATAGAAGGCAGCTTAGAAATAGTGTTTTAAATATAAAAATGTTTCGTTTTCAATTTAGTAGAAAATGTGTAATTTGCAGTTTGGCAGACTTACTGGTACTACTATACAAAAACAGGAAAAAGGTCATGCAAAGGGGTTAAGATTATTCTTCAACGCACATAACGGAAAACAAAAACACCTAGCAGATTTAAGAATAGTTTGCAACTAATGGAAAAAGCATCCAAAAGATAACATAAAATACAGAAATGGTTTAGTTTTGTTCTTTTAAACCTGGCTGTACCCTAGTACAGATGAGCTTTATTTTGATGCTCAACAAAAAATAAGAATAAAGTTGTCCTTCTTTCCACAAGTATTTTGTTAAACTCAACTGACTTCAGAAGTATAGTGGTACAATGGCCATTTAAAAAAAAAAAAAAAGAGAGAAGAAAGTATAATGAGTATAATGGACATAAAATGTTACCAAAAAAACCCACACACTCAAAAAATATATTTTTCTTTCCCCTACTTACAATTACATTTGTTAAAAAAAAAAACAAAACCAAAACAAAACAAAGCTTTTACAACATCAGCCCAACTATTGGCTTTTCTAATAAACTTGGTAAGTAGTCTCCCTGTACATCCTGTTTCTCTTAAGCATTTAGCAGTTTTTCTTATACACAAGGTAATGTCTCTGAACGAATTCAACTGGTTTGTATTTTTGGACAAATTAGGTCTAGATTTTTGTCATTGAGTTGTTTGTTCTGTTTTAGCTGCAACGTCTAACATGCTCCAAAACATATTCAGGGAAGTGCAAGCTGCAAACTTGTAAGCCATCCAGCTTGCACGGCATCCTTGGATATTCATCTTCTTTCCATTTGTTCTCCTCTGGATCAAAGGTGAGAATCGAGTCACTGTAATGACCATTGTAACAAAGGCCTCCAAGAACCATTATCTGCTTGTCCAGAACAGCTACGCCATGCCCACTCCTACCAATTGGCATAGAAGCCAATATAGTCCATTGATCAGTATCTGGGTCATAAACCTCTGTAGAAGGACATCCTTGAGATTCAAAGGAAGCCCTTAGAATCACACAGACACCACCAAAAACATAAAGCTTACCATTATAAGAAATCATTTTGTGAAAGCATCTTGCGTAATTCATTTTGCATTTGTTCTCCCAACAGTTAGTGACCACTTGAGTTCTCCTTGTTCGCTGCTCTACTGTCCCTTCTTTACTGGGATCAAACACACACACTTGCTTAGAAGTTGAAGATGATGTAATTCCACCAGTGATATACAACTTGTTACCAAGCACAGTCCCTTCATGTCCGTATTTATTGACTGGATAGGGATCCACAAATTCCCATTTATCTTCAGTAATATCATACCGTTCAGTTGAGTAAAACGTTTCATCCCTGGTTCTCCCAGCCACTGCATAAACATACCTCCCAATAACTCCAACAGCAAACTCAGAACGTGGAACAGACATGTCTGCCATTCGTAACCAAGTGTTCTGTCTTGGGTCATATCTAAACACTTTGGATGAAGCATGAAACTCACCATCTGGCCCCAGTTCTTCCCCACCTAATAGGAACACAAAGTTATTCACAATGGCAAGGCAGTCTGGTCGTAAAGGTACTTGAGGACCCTCTAGTTCCCACCAGACCCTTGGTTTGTGCAAGAGAAGAATTTTACTGTTTACCATACTGTGTCCTATCATTCCTCTAAATACTGCAGTCTGGGGTTTGGCAGAACGAATTTTGTTCGATTTCATTTCCATCAAAGGCTGTTGGTGAACGCTATGAAAGTAATTCATGGCTTGGTCAACCTCATGTCGCAGCTGCCGGGAGTATCGATAAAACTCTGATGTTTTTACCTATGAATACATTTAAAAGATATTAAAATTCTGACCAAGAGAAACAATCCAGAAAACCTAAATGACTATGCGTCACTAGAAGATTATTTTACTTAGGTTCATTGAGACAATCTTGAAAGCAATTGAATTTGTGCATGGAGGGTTAAGTTAATGTATTGTTATCCAAAATCCAGAAGGCAATTTAGTGATTAACAGCAGTGACTAACAATTTTTAGCAGAATACTCACATGCAGAACATAAGCTAGAATTAGGCACAACTGAAATCCCCAAGTCTAAAAACCATAATTCCTTCTCCCCAAAAAAGCCTCTGTTTATCTCCTACTTAATCCATGAAGCACCTAAATTAAAAACGCACTATTTTCCTGGTTTTGAAAAACATTCTACATACCCATTCTGCGTTTACCAAGGTCTACCCTAGTCTAATTTATGCTGAATTCTCACAACCAAGCCCAAGCAGGTATTCCGAAATGCTAGGCTCTGCTCACAGAGCTATTTAATTGGGGCGGGTGGGAAGGGAAGGTACCCAAACCCCTTCCTTCAGAACATGTGATCACACTAACCATTCATGATGGTGGTTACCTTATGGTTTCCTCTCTGTGAGTCTCCACATGTTAACAAATGCCTTTAACACGAGGAAAACATCTCAACCTATAACCCTTTGGCCGTTCATTTGTTTGGTAAATTGCGGAGTTTTGGGTTTGAACTTCCACTTCCCAGGTGAAAGTTACAATCTTTGAATTACCACATAGTAGCAAATTGCTCTTTCTCAGTGCTATGTCAATTTGAAAAGAGGTATCCCTGCTCCGTTTTACTGGAGTTGGGAGGGGGGGAGGGGGGGAGGAAGATTCTAAGAATTTACCTTTCCAAGAGCCTTCCTACTCTCTAAGCCAATTTAAGTTCCCAAGACAATTACAAAACACATCCCTATCTTGAACATTTTAATTAATCTAGCTCCAGGCATCCCTCAGGTCACCATGTGATTCTCTTCAAAGAGGCTTTGCTCTTCCTGGACAGTCTGGTCTAACACAGCATTCTGAATTACACTTCAAAAACAAATAAAAACCCACTAGATATTGCTAAATCCACAAATCCTCTATCAGATTTGATCCTAAGTCCCAATTTCTTTCACATAAAACTGGACTGCTTTCAAACACTCTGAATTCCTTTAGTTCCCACCAGCTCTGAAAAAAATGTCAGGCCACTGTGAAATTTCAAAGTGACCACAAGATAAAAATCAAAAGCTACTATTTTTCAGTATCTGTTCTCCTACCTCCTCCTATATACACTTACCTAAGGGGAGGTGGTGTGAGTTTTCATGTACATGAAAAGCAATTTAGAAATGAATATTCTTTATTCCTTGTGAATAAAGTAGTTGCTTCTTCCATAAATCTACTATTCAAAATTTGTTAGCTTTCTGTTAATCATTTCTCTTCCTTATACAGTAATTAAGACATTCTGCTGTCAGATTAACATTTTTAAAGATCTTTTGGACTGTTACTATTGGACATGATTTGCACAGATTTTGAGATTGTTTTACACACCAGATTTTTTTAAAAAAAAAAAGAATACTAACCTACCATTTTAAAGCACTCTATAGCTCAAGAGTTATAATGATTTGATGTTTTTATTCACACTTTTTCTTTCCCCCACTTTATTTTGACAAGTTTAACTTATCTTTGCTTGGAAAAAGAGGATGGTCACATGCAGATTGCATATATTATTCTTCAGCAATACCCAACTTCTTTCTACTATTTGTACCAGGGGTGATAACGGAGTAAAAAAGTTTACTTAGGTATAATGCTTACAAAACACCCACAGTAAGCCCAACTCTTCTGGGGAATAACAGATCTATTTTCTTATTGCAAGTAAAGAATATATCATACAAACACAGGAGATCTGCTCATATGGAATTTGTTAAAATAAACCATATACCTTGCCTGACTGAAAAGACTGAACATAAATTCCAGAAAATATGCTGGGTGGGCAGGGGAGAACCACAGCACAGAAAAATGGTAAAATATAGAAAGCCTTAAAGGTTACAAAAAATGAAGCAGGAAGTTCAAATAACCAAGAATCACAGGTGGGATACTTTATCCTTAAAAGTAACTTTCAGATTCTAAAACAGCATGACTATTTCACATATTCCCAAACTGGAGCTATCATTTTTGAAAATAAACAAAAATATAAAAAATTTTTGTTCCATCTATATGCATTTCAGATTGTCTTGGATGATTATGGAAGACAACAGGATCAACACGCTTACAATGTGAAGCATGCCAGCAAAGCCTGACAGAGATGGAAGACGTTTTTTCTTTCCCCCTCAACATTTACAACTCTGTCTTTAGATCTAGAAATTGAAATGCCAGCCAGAAAGTGGAATTAAAATAAGCCTCATACATCCTCACCACTCTACTCCTTCACATAGCCTAAATCTCACCCCATGAGAGCAGGGAGGAAGGAATATCTCAAATCAAGGAAACGGGGAATATCTCAAATTCCAGAGACAGAATCTCAAGACCAGGGAATCAACCTACTAGTATTTTACTACTACTGATCTTGAAAAAGCAACTAACATCAAAGCAAAGCCTCAATCTCTTACCTTAGACCAGAAAGACATCAAGAAGCAAATGCAACTACTAGTTATAAATAACTCTTTCAGACTGAAGTTCGCGGGGAAGCTATCTACAAGCATAATCTTGAAGAGATGAAAATAAAAATACATAAGCACTAGGATTTCTTACAATATTCAGAAAAAAAAAACCCACAAAACAAAACAGTGATAGACAATATAAATTCTGGTAAGAAGAGGTAGTTGGAGGCTCCCTAGACTTTGCTCTCGAGGAAAAGTATTGGTGTTTCTAGCCAGCCTTCCACCTTTCACCAGCACAACTTCTGCCATACAGGAGCAGTACCTCTCCTGAGGCTCAAATGATGGTCTAAGATGAATGTTAGGCTATGCCTATATGAAAGTAGAGACTGCTCACTCTTGCTTGATGCAAATGAAAACAAAGCAAATGTAGGTCAGTTTGCCCACTTTCACATTCATACTATCTGCGTGAAATCTTCCAGAATTATTTGCAAGTCCTGTTCAGCCCACAGTAAGGAAAACCCTCCGAACCTACCTACCTGAATAATTTCACAATACTTTTAATTACTTGTGTGTATAATCAAAATACAGAAGCATTAACATTCAGGTGTTTAAATATTAAACCACAACTGTAACATCCAAACCAGATGGAAATGTACACTAACAGTAATGAACTTTGATGTAAAACAAATGTACATTTTTAAGAGTATATCATCAACGAATTGATAAAAAAATACGAATACTTCATAGCATTTTCAAAGTTTAAAGAGAAGGGTCTCACAGAAAGTTTAAGTTGGACTTCCTTACCGACCCCAGTCTCATTGTACACAGGGAATTTAATCCAAGTGCTAATGTGATTTTTTTACATTCTTTCCAATTCTTTCTCTTCAGTTTTCTGGACAAAACCTTCTTACAGAGGTTCTGCTGGGACATAGCACTAATGTAAGAGCTCCCTGAAGAACTCTCATGAGAACTATCTCATTGCATCATCTACCAATTATAGTGGTTCACAGTGGGACTTTTAGCTACACAGACAGGGAACAACATAAACAAAATCAAATGTGTCATTCCATAAAAAAAATAAATAAAAGAAGATGAAGAAAATAATTAATAACATCCACCTCTCTACTCACCCCTTAGGTAGTCTATACCAAAAGCATCAAAACTTCACCAAAATCACCACCATCCCTCCAGCCATAGTAAATCGGAGCTCGAATGCATTTTTGTCTTCTTCGTTTTGAATCAGTTAAAACATACAGTAAAAACTGCTGGCTTTCCAAATCAATGCAGTTATTAATCATTGCCTATTCTTCTGCTCTATTGCAATGTATGCTTCCTAGCTGCAATAGCTATGTAAGTTTCAGAATTTTCCGTCTATATTCTATCAAAAAGTAAAGCCAAAAATGTAAGCCATTAGTCTTTAATCTGAAAAGTGATCCCCACAAAAGACCAGAGGTATCCTGTGTTATGTTCATCATCTGTTCCTCTAAAACCTGTCAACAAACATTATCAAAATGTTAACACACTTACTCCAAATCAAAATTCAGTCAAGCAGCAAAAGCCACAAATGTGTCTCTAAACCAGCAGCAACCAAAATTACTTTGTAACCAGACTGTAGCATACATAGCATTGGAGAAGTTGCTGTACTTAACTTCCTCTTCTTCTAGCATGAGTTGTTACTTAGTTACATCCCATGGCCAGTATGAAAACTGGTCAGTACCTGGCTTTGAAGGGCTATTCTGCAAGTGCTACAAATCACTTGCTGTTTTTCAGCCTAACCATAGAAAGATAAGATGACATAGCCTCTGTACAGCAAGGACAATGCCCTCAAACTGAGTATTTTGCTGTTCTTTTTTATAAACTGGCAAGACAAATTATCACAATCAAGCTCGAATCTAACTCAAATCTAACATCTCAAATCAAAGTGGAGCCAACAATCTGCATGCCAGAATTGAGATGCTCAGCACATAATACTGCTAGCAAATCTATCCATTCAGCAATAACCTTTAGACATAAAAATATTAAGCGCAGCACCTATTTAAGGTAAGAGGGGCCCACTAACCTCATCCACTAGACACTTCTTAAAAGCTTCAGCATGCGAAGTTCTAGAAGTGGATACATATGAATTACTAGACATGGAGGTAAATGAGAAAAAAAAGAGAGAAATTCAACATATTTATCAAAGGTAAAGTCACAATGACATAAAATGACAATGACATCTTCTCAAAAGTTACTTTTCTAGGTACAGGAAAGCACATACTCAATGTGCTAATCATTCCACCTTTAAAGCAGAAGCTGATTCATCTAGTGATAGTAAGTTTCCGATTTAAGCTGGGAATTTATAAATCAGCATGGTCTAGTCATAACAAACCCTACAGGCTGGACATCAAAAAAAAACCTTTCGATTTTAAGGACAGAGGTTTTGAAAAAACATTTCAATCTGAGTAGTACACAGAAAGTAAATGGAGCTTAAACAGTATATGAAGGAAATCATGACATGGTTGCCTCTAATAACACAGAGGTAAACTCCATGATCTAGGATAAATGCCCTCTAACTTTTATCTCCTACCTTTGTCAAGACTTAAAGAGTCATGGACATGTTTCAAATAAAAAAAAAAAAAGTGTAATACAGGTAATGGAAGTTGTGCTTCTCTGCATACACTTTGCCTTTATTTTCTAACTATTCCCTAAATCCTTACTTCATTTACCTTTCCATTTTCCCTGATACATCTACATCTATTGTAAGGGCTGAGGAACAAAAGGTGTATCTATTCATACTTCAGAAGCAGTTCTTCCAGAACAGTTTAGACTAAGCAAACAGACTGCACCTTCACTCCAAATGCACATCAGCCTCAAGGTATAATCTGGAGTCACCCATCAACTCCTTTTTAAAAGGACAAGCCATCCTACTCAGAATGTAAATCTCTTAAAAAAATCAAAACAAAACCAAAAAACAAGGTAAGAAGTAGAATGGCTTAAGAGGCCAAAAGTATCCTTACTGTGACTTGCAAAGTTAAGTTATATAAGTTATTTATATACTACAATGACAGTCATCTTCGAAATGTGTATTAGCAAGATTACATAAGAGTACATATGACAAGCCAGCCAGTGTATAGTGAACACAGAGCTCACTGAACTGTAAGAGTCAACCTCAGATTTTATTTGGTACATTCATGCAGACGTTTAGTATGTGCTGGCTTCAGGAAAAGGGTGAATTCTCTTTGTGTATCTCAAAAAAAAAAAAAAAAATTTATTTTCCCCCTTCTACACAATGAAGACAGTTCTCCTCAGGTTACTTCTAGAACTGTTAACAGACATGCTCTTTTATTTAAAAAAAAAAAAGAAAAGTGTCTGTATTTTTATGTTAGCTCCAACTGGAGTTGTCCTTTGTCACTTGTCACGCTGGATTACTCAATTGCTCTCTAACCAGGGCAAAACACAAATACATTCCTAGCTGCAGCAACAAATGACAGACTTATTTAGCTGTGTTTCCCTCTGCTGAGTTGTCCCACTCCAGAATCTGCACTGGCTTCTCTCTGCTCCCACATACAATTAATAGAAAGAGTATTCACAGTTAAAGCTTTTACAGGTGGGCATAAAAACTGGGACGCTGAAAGGAATTTCTCTCCTTAGGTTGCACCTATCTGACCATTTGGTAGCTGTCTAGATAAAACATGAGAAGCACTGTATGCAGGATTTACACCACTGATACCAAAACCAGCTCCAGAAGTTATACCTAAATATGATGCTGAAGACCAACATACACTTTTCACTTACAGGAATTTAACTGAAGACAGCTTGATGCTTGAACTTCCACCCCAAAAACTCAAGAGTTGTAGCCGAGTCTTTCAGATGAGTCTTACCCTATTAAATTGACCTTAAAAATACTCTGGATCCTATCAGTTTTCCTACTGCAGGGCTTAAATGATGTAATAATAAGGCAAAAGCATTATTAAAAACAAGACACTACACAGTATCTTGCAGAGTTCAGCTCTTAGTAGCTGGAAATATTTTAACCCAATATAAACGTTACATTACTGTTCTAAAATACGTCTAGGTATTTATTTTGTTTATGTCTATAGGCCAATACAGGATCATAAATGTATTTTATATATTATTACATCCTCTACTCAATTCACACACACAAAAAAATGCAAAATATAAAAAAATCACTAGTCTCTGAAGTAATTAATAGCTTTTATAATTTAAATACAAATAAGTATAAGCATTACTGCTTAAATGATCCAGTAGCCCCTAAAACCACCAAGAACAATACAACTTTACCTGTATATTCACTAGATACTATAGTAAAAATATATAGGAAATTAATTTGTAAGAAGCCCAACAAAAACACAGGGTCTTAAATCCTATTAATTCACCGACAGGTGAAAAATACACAAGTTAAAGCTGTATCTTATCACATAAAATTAACATTGTTAAAACAAAACAGCAGAGCTTAAGCAATTCCTAACCTACATACCCTTACTGTTACTAGCCTGAGAGCACTGCTTACAAAGTTTTGTCATTCTCTACTGTTGACAAATACTCAGAGGTTCTCAGGAACTAGAAAACAACATTTTTTTTTGTCTATTCTTCAACAGAACAGTAGAAAAAGCAAGTTTTCTTTTAACCTCTTAATACATACAATGGTCAGCTGAATTTTAGATCACCTGTTACAAGGATTCCTCTGACATTTAGAGTAAATCATTACATTTCACATCATCAATAACTTTTGATAATATTATGTCCCTTGTCTAGAATCAAATGTATGTGTAACTGCAGGGTCAGGGCTTAGTTCCAACTGCTATGTAACAGCAGGAGCACTGAAGATACAACAACAAAAACAGCCTGCAGATTTAACAGCAGATGCTAGTTTTCATTTGTAAATAAAAAAATCTGTACTTAAACCACACAAAATCTACAGTTACTATGTTTTGATTATATTGATAACAATTAACATGACATATGCCCTACATACTGTATGCACCTCTAAAATCTCTGGAAAACAAGCAGCAACTTGGGGAAAACAGTAAGAACAACTGAAATAAAACTTGATGCAAGTGACCTTATTTTAAAATGTCCTTTCAATATTAAGTCACTTAAAAACATGTATTGTAAACCTACCTGTTCTCCAGCCACTGTACATACTATTGTCTAATAATCAGATAACAATACTTTTAGATGTTTGTCTTCTATGGGTTTATTAAAAAAAATAAACGCTATCTATTTGTTCCTCCTAATAGATTTGGGAATCTTACCTATTTAATGACATGCTGCCCTAGCTAAGTGATGAATCCTGTCTAGTGGTTTTCAAATGCACCAACCTTCTCAAAAACACTGGATGGTGTCATCAAACAAAACCTGATGTTCTGAATGATGGTGTCCGTATGCCTCCAGCGTCTTCTATCATGGCGTAGCCAGGCCTGAACAGCTTCATACAGCTCTATCTCTGGAAACCTGCTCAGATGATCATTATCCAAGTAAGACATGAGCTTTTCAAAGCTCAGATATGAAAGGAAGTCAGGTCTGGACATGAGTGGCACAAAATTCTCTAGCAGAAAGGAGTCCAATTTTTCCCTGACTCCTTCGATGTTTACACCAAAATCATCCAGAAGTCTCATAATTTCTGCACAGTTTTCTAAGCAGATTTTAGCTAAGAGAAAAGAGCAGCAAAATTTTACCACCTCTATAAGCTGGACATACATGGCAGCCTGAAGGATTTCATGAACAGTGTTCATACTCAGTTCAATAGTTCCATAGTACATGAATTGGAGGACATGACTGAAGCCTGTAGCTGTCAGACCTTTCAAATGGATTTTGTCCTGATCTCGTTCTCGCATATCAGCTGTGAACATAATCCTGAAGTAATCACTCTGGGTGGCAAGCAGTGCTTTATGGGCCTGAAATTGGTGGTCTTCAATGACAAGTGTGACATCAAGAAGCAATCCCTCCTCATACAGTGCTCTGAATCCAGCAGAGACACTGGTGTCATGGATGGAGGAGCTAAACCCTTCCACGTCCCCTGCCATGAATCACCTGGGGGGAAGAAAAAATAAATAAATAAAAATAAAAATAAATTGTTATTTCTAATAACATATCACAAGCCTTTCCTGACCAGATAAATCCTAACTGAGATTGCTTTTATCAAGACTTAAAAGTCTTCACCATCCTTTTTGTTTTCAGCTGAAAAACCAACCTAAGAAACAACGTAAAACACAGACTTTAAATATTTCTCCCCCCAAAACAGTCTCATTTTAAAGAAAGGGTAATGAACCAGAATAACCATGCAATACTGCCAAAGTGATTCCTCACTCCAAGCTACTTAGTGGTCAGATAATGAATATGCAATGCTAAAAAGGTTGCCATGGTTTTCTTCCTATCCCCCCTCAATCTTTCTAAAGATTTTATCTCAGGGGAGCAATAAAACACCCACTCTCGGATATAAAAGGTTTCAGAAAGGAGGCCGAACTTCCTTAACTTCAGAAACAAGCTCCAGTAGATTTGTACACAGTAAAACCTAAAAAAAATTGTCTCTTTAAAAAATATATGTCAATTTATCCAAAAGTTATTTCTAGGAAACTGAACATTTTCAGAGATACTATTTAAGTCTGCATGTCTCACTTCTCCTGCAACAACATAGTCCCTTTCCCCCCACTTCTTACTGTAGGGATTAATTAGGTGACGAGATTTATAAAATGCAATGTATTAAGGCAATACATACTGACAAGATTAGGTCACAATAAATAATATTCTGTATACTGGGTTTAGTGAAGCTTAATTGCTTATTAAGTATTTGAACATTTGCAGATGCATAGTGTTACTTACATGCAAGCTACAGTCAAACTGTAAATAAGTCAAAGAGAAATTAAAAGACTAATAGGATCCTACCCCATTAAAGTTAAGGAAGATAAATACTCAATAAAAATCTGTATCAAAAACTATTAAAAAATCCAGGAAGTTGTCACAATCTTGCTCAACTTCCTTGGGTTTAGGTCAAGTGAAGTTGCACAAGGCAGCTTGAATCAATTGAACAATTTATCACTAGTCAAAGGGCAACAGCGCGCTCCATTCTCCCTCTCTGGTATTTTGGGGTCTGGGCTCCTGCTGCCTACTTTGAGTCATTTCTGGGGTTCGTTGGACTGCTCTAGAAAGCCAATTCAGCTCATAAACCTGACAGAAGTTCCCCCCCAAGGCAGGGGAACAGGACACACACACAATGACACATGACACAAACACCACCCCCCAGCACACACAAAACCTCAAAACCAGAGAGCTTTCTGTTTATCAGTGGGCTGACTTCTGACTTGACACAGCAGGGGTTATGGCGCAAGAACCAACCTGATGTAGAGGGCAGGACATCACACATAAGCAGGAACAGGGAAGAAGAGTAACATCTTCCCGTTTTGGCATCAATCGGCTACTAGAATTGGTTCAACCACTTTTGTTTCACTTTATCCCACCTTAAATTACACTGCAACATTCACTCAGTTATGTGTGTGTTTTACCCTGAATTTCCTATAACAATTAAAGTTAATAATGTTTTGGTACTGGTAACCTGCATGAAAAGCTAAATAACACCAACATCAACACATTTAAAAAACTGCTAGTTATCAAGGTTATAGAACTTCACAGCAGTATATGGACTCAGAAGTGATTTTGGTTGGCCCAGGTTTCACAACTTCCAAGAGCAGTTATACTAGTCCCGATTCCTCAAGCACCATGTCCTGACTGCTGCCATTTTACCTAGAACGTATTTTATTAGACTCCATCAACAGATAATAATCTCCTCTCCTTAATTCATCAGCACACATCCTGGAAAACAAAACTGGAGATACTCTTTGTCTAAGCAAAACTAAAATGGTGAGTGGGTGTTTGTAGCCACACCTCATGGAATTAGCACCGCTCCCACACTGTTGAAGCCTGCTGACAGGTTCCGTGCACAATAGAGTTAATGCCGGGAGCGTTCATGAAAGTTAAGGTTTTATGACAAAATTCAAATTCCTTAAAGTAAGAGCAGCAGCAAGAGAAAAAAGCTGACGATCACTTTCTTGCCAATATCCACGATAGCACACTCCCCTCAATGTCACTGGGGAGAAAATGCAAACTGCTCTGCAGCTTTATATTGCAAGTCCCTTATTCCTGAACACAGCACATGCCTACCAGAAAGAGAAATTACCATCAAATATTTTTCTTAGCTGTTGTCAATTCTTGCATAAAAACAGAGAAGAGAAGAATTACTTTACTAACTCTCAGCACCTGAAAAAGAAGCAACAAGCTGAAGAGGAAGCTTAAAGCCTCACTTTTCAGGATTTTGCTTTCTTATTGGATTTCTGATATCAAATACAAAGTAAACATTAATATTAGCTTTTTTCTTTCACTAGAGCACTTGTAATGCCTCCCTCCCCCACCCACAGTTCTCTGATGTTTAGTAATAGTTCAGCTCATACTTCAGTCCTTCCTGTTTAAGAGATTTAACGGTCACCTGCCTTTAAATAGGCCACCCATTTTCATAAACTATCAGCAACTTGAAACAACTATGTCTCAATTCTGTTTGAAATTGGCAAAGAGGTTCAAAGGTTACCAGTATTCTCAGACAGTACAACTGTGTAAGTTGCATATCTTTAGGAGACCAACTAAGATGCATGGCTCAGCTTCAATTCCAAGATCAATCGAAAAGACAGGACAGGATAGCTAGGATAGTTGGAATTTACAAGTGTGAGACATGAACAGAATAACATATATTTGGAGAAAAAAAAAAAGTCAGAAATGAAGCAACATATATTAATTTGAAAGTAACAGGATCTCCTATCACACAGGCTCATGCAGGCAGCAATCTCACAGAAGGGATTTCTTCAAAACAGTACATACATTACTGCGTACTTGAACAACATAGAAGAACCATACCAGTGAGCTCAAAACACATACTAGGGTCTTTCCCCTTAACTTGAGAAAGATAATTACATTATAGGCACTCTGCAAATAAAAGGAGAGAAATTAACTTCTACATAGGATGGCTTTAGAAGGTCTCTTCCAAAGAAGCAAAAAGGAAAAGCTGGCAACTGAGGACAAGTAGAGACAAGCGGTAAAGGGTAAATGCACCAAATCCAGAGGAGCACCTCCACTGTTCCTTTTAAGGATCAAAACAAATAAATAATACACAAAACCAAGAAACCAGCATTAGAGAGAATCCTGGGCAACCAGCTGTACATGGTCCTGCTGAGCGGGGGATAGACCGGGGGGGTGGACCAGGTGACCTCCAGAGGCCCCTTCCAACCTCAACCAGTCTGTAATTCTGTGACCATGTTGCTTTTCCACAGAGACTGCACTGATTTGGGTTTTTTTTTATGACCATTCTTTTAATTCTGTTTAAATAGCAATAAGACACACAAACACACAAAAAAATCAGTTATAAGCTACTACCCTCCAAATTCTAAATCTATCAAAAAATAAGGTGTTAGAAATGACCCAAATACGTTTTAAAACCCACTGCATTTAGGTACCGTTTAGGGTTCTAATTTTCACATCTCCCTAAAACTGGCTATTCTGTAAAAACATATTAAAAGCAGAAGTCAGCCACAAACCTCTACAATGGTAACAAAGTGGTCAACACTCTGAAATTATTATTTCAGAATGTTTTAAAAATGTGGGGGTGTAAGTCACTTAATCCTTCTTTTCACATCCCTGCTTGTATTATTTTTAGTGAATGTACAGTTTTCAATCTCAAAATATTCTTCTTCTCAAACGTCAGACAGCATTTAATGGATTATTTAAATAGAGAAAAATACAGTAAGACTTCTCCGTAACACCATCTAAAGCAGCTTCAGAATTCTACAAGTGAAAAGCAAAAGACCACTTGTCTTCATGCATGAAATAAAAGCAGTAAATACCCTTTTTTGGCATAAAGCCATACACAATATTAGCAGATACATTTTTCTTTACAACACAAAAATGTATTGGCCAGTGCAAGTACACATGGGGGTTAAAATAGCACAGAGACTCAGAAACGAGACAGTTAAATGCTTATTATGATCAACTGGTAAAAATCTTCATTTCTATAGCTAGCATCCTTCATCAAAAGCAAACAGCAATGTGGTAGTTCAAATATTAAAAAAGCAATACAAAATACTCTCAAATGAAGTCATTTTTCTAAAGCATAGCTATGCCATTCCTCCCACACACAGACTTGCAATCTTAGATGTAATTCTATGCACTATTTGAACGCTGCAGCTTATTTCCCAGAGGACAATAACGTAACAATTTTTTTTTTCATATTTTCAATAAAAATGCAAAATTTAGAGTTAGATCTTCTTCATCCATGCAAATCACAATAGCACACTTAATCCTAAGGAAGACATGTAGCCTACAGTGGTCTATAAGAAAACTGGAACAAAAAATTCCAACGTATAAACAATAAAAGGGGAAAAAAAATAATCTAAGTTGACATTCTGCATTGTTCTGCGCATACAAGAGCTGATCAGTATAATGCAGCACAGGAAGTAAGATTCTCTGCTGAAAAGCCAAAAAAGAAATACACTTAACCTTATTAGCTTTCCCTGACATTTCCTCCTCTTTTAGCACATAATGCATTACAGAGTCTACTCTGCCATGACTGTAAAAGCACTTACTTGGAACACAGATTTCTCATCTTTATTCCGCAGCTGTAATAAAAGTCTGAAAACCCTGTTCCAGACTGCTTTTTCTTGCTAAACAAGGAGAACCTTCTTTCCTCTGGGTGTCTGAGGCTCTTAGTCACAAGCAGAAGAAATGGAGTCTAAATGCACAGGCTATTGAAAAAGGAAGTTATGGAATACTCACTTTTGGCTCATGTCCTGCTTGATTTAAAAAATCTATCTAAAAAGCAGTATTTACTGAAAAAGTGCCCTTTAAATAAGTGTGTTTATGTAATACGTAAGCTTATATGCACTTTCTAGGGATAGAAATATATTGTTCTAGGAAAGGAATTGACAATACCAATTCTAGCACGCCACCTGAAAGACAGATTTCTGCTTTCCTTTACTGCTGTTCCTTAAGAACTC